TTTTTTTTTTTTTTTTTTTGAGACAGAGTCTCACTCACTCTGTAGCCCAGGCTGGAGTGCAGTGGTGCCGTCTCGGCTCACTGCAACCTCTCCCTCCTGGGTTCAGGTGATTCTTGTTCCTCAGCCTCCCAAGTAGCTGGGACTACAGGCATGTGTCACCACCCCCTGGCTAATCTTTGTTTTTATTTTTGTTTTGTAGAGATGAGTTTTCACCATGTTGGCCAGGCTGGTCTTGAACTCCTGTTCTCAAGTGATCTGCCTGCCTCAGCCTCCCAAAATGCTGGGATTACAGGCATCAGCCACCGTGCCTGGCTGGTTCTCAATGATTTTTAAGAGGGCAGAGGGGTCCCCAGAACGACTGTGATGTGACATCAAGCAGGAAGGCATGCATTTTTGATGATACCATCCCCAAAGTAGCAAAGGCTGTTTTTAAAGAGCCGTTTATAATATTTGCTCACAAAGGAGTCCTTTTAAGATTTGGATTTTTTCCCCATTAAGTTTTCCACATTTTGGTCAAGAATGTAAGTGGGTTGATTAGTTTTTCATCTGTCTTGAATTTTCTTCTAGCTGCTGTCAAGTCAGTGCTGCAGCGATTCATGTGATAGTAAGAGTGGGGGGCATCCTTGGGCTTAATAGAGCATGCAAAGAACTCTGCTGTAGTCACAAACAAGCACTAGCTTATTGTTACTGAGTCAGGTTTTTATTTTTAAGATCTTCTATCTTATTTGGACTCTGTCATCTTGGTAAATGCTTTATTATAGCTTGTAGGATGGTCTTGAATACAGATAACTTTATGGAAAAACATATTGTTGGATTGAGGCCAGTAATTCTTCAGGTGGACTCAATTCAAATGTAGATGGGCTTTTTTTGTTGTTTGTAAGGGCTGTGCTATGGAAAGCTCTTGCTTTGTATAGCATACATCAGTTTGAATGCAAAGTGACATGACGGGGGGGAAAATATGTAGTCAGGTTGTTAACAGGCCAGGAATGAAACCTAAGAGCATATCCTCTTAGCCAGTTTTCAAGGTGGCACCTATGACTGCTGAAAATAAGCAAGGCTTTGGAGATGATGGGAAATCATACAGGGGGAGGGCTTTTTTTTTTTTTTTTTTCTTTAGGTGGAGTTTTGCTCTTTTTGCCCAGGCTGGAGTGCAATGGCCCAATCTCGACTTACTGCAACCTCCACCTCCCGGGCTCAAGTGATTCTCCTGCCTCAGACTCCCAAGTAGCTGGGATTATAGGTGCGTGCCACCACGCCTGGCTAATTGTGTATTTTTAGTAGAGACAGAGTTTCACCATGTTGGCCAGGCTGGTCTCAAACTCCTGCCCTCAAGTGATCTGCCCACTTCAGCCTTCCAAAGTGCTGGAATTATGGGTGTGAGCCACTGCACCCAGCTGGGAAAGGGCTTTTAAATAGAGGGAAAGGGCCGGGCGCGGTGGCTCACGCCTGTAATCCCAGTACTTTGGGAGGCCGAGGCGGGTGCATCACGAGGTTAAGAGATCGAGACCATCCTGGTCAGCATGGTGAAACCCCGTCTCTACTAAAAATACAAAAAATCAGTTGGGCATGGTGGCGCGTGCCTGTAATCCCAGTTACTCAGGAGGCTGAGGCAGGAGAATTGCCTGAACCCAGGAGGCGGAGGTTGCGGTGAGCCGAGATCGCGCCATTGCACTCCAGCCTGGGTAACAAGAGCGAAACTCCGTCTCAAAAAATAAATAAATAAATAAATAAATAAATAGAGGGAAGGGTGTTTATGTTTTTGTTTTTTGTGTTTTGAGACAGGGTCTTGCTTTAATGCCCAGGCTGGAGAGCAGTAGCCTGATCATGGCTCACTGCAGCCTTGAACTCCTGGGCTCAAGTGATTCTCATGCCTCAGCCTCCCTAGTAGCTGGGACTACAAGCATGTGCCATGATGCCCTACTAATTGTTTATCATTAAAATATATATATATGATTGCTGTGAAACTAGATCCACAAAGGGTTACTGATAAGCAGAGGGCCTTAAAGAAGTCTTGCTCTCAATTTGTAAGAATGATTTGTAATCATAGCTTGAACTGTGTGTATATTTGTTCTCTCAAGTAGTTTAAAGCAATCTGTAGTCTTGTTTACACTAGTAGCGTACTTGATAGCCCTTGACTTTATAGATAACATAAATAATCTAGCATTTCCTAAAGTGAAATCTAGGGGTTTATGGAATATATATATTGAGAATCAACTTTAAATATAAAAAAGTATTAGTTATAAAGACAAGCATTTTACACTGATTATTTTTTATTTAATTTTTTGAGATGAAGTTTCATTCTGTCGTCCATGCTGGCGTGCAGTGGTGTGATCTCGGCTCACTGCAATCTCTGCCTCCCAGGTTCAAGCAATTCTCCCACCTCCCTCAGCCTCCCAAGTAGCTGGGATTACAGGTGCCAGCCACCATGCCCGGCTAATTTTGTATTTTTAGTAGAGATGGGGTTTCACCATGTTGGTCAGGCTGGTCTCAAACTCCTGGCCTCAGGTGATCCACCCACCTGGGCCTCTCAAAGTGCTGGAATTACTGGCATGAGCCACCTCGCCTGGCCAAAAGCTCAATCATATCTCAGTAAAGTGGTTTAAAAAAAAAAAAAAGGCGGACTGGAGGCGGTGGCTCATACTTGTAATCTCAGCACTTTGGGAGGCCAAGGCAGAGGATCGCTTGAGCCTAGGAATTTGAGACCAGCCTGGGTATAATAGTGAGACCTCCTCTCTACAAAAAATACAAAAATTAGCCAGGGCATGGTGGCGAGTTACTCAGGAGGATGAAGTGGGAGGATCGCTTGAGCCTGGGAGGCAGCAGCAAGCTGAGATGGCACTACTGTACTCCAGCCTGGGTGAAAGAGCACGACTCCGTCTCAAAACAAACAAAAAACAGTCTGAAGTAAGACATTGAATAGATTGCACAAGCATGTGATGGGATTAAATACTAGCTTTATATGTGTGTGTGTGTGTGTGTGTGTGTGTGTGTGTGTGTGTGTGTGTGAAACTGGAGTCTCTGTTGCCCAGGCTGGAGTGCTGTGGTGTGATCTTGGCTCTGCCTCCCGGGTTCAAGTGATTCTCCTGTCTCAGCCTCCTGAGTAGCTGGGACTACAGGCAGCTGCCACCACGCCTGGCTAACTTTTTTGTGTTTTCAGTAGAGATGGAGTGTCCCCATGTTGGCCAGGCCGGTCTCGAACTCCTGACCTCAGGTGATTCACCTGCTTCATCCTCCCAAAGTGCTGGGATTATAGGTGTGAGTCCCCCCGCGCCCGACCTAGCTTTATATTTTTATATTTGAGTTGGCACTTCCCCATTTTGCATGATCCTGACTGAAATTAGAAAATCAGATTATATCTGCGTTTTATAGGCAAATGACTAAAACTTGAAATATTTGGGGGCCTGTCTCTGTGAATTCCCTTTGCTGGGGCTAGAACCCTCATCTATGACTGTTACCTCTCAGGAGGCAGCAAATTTTCCGTGGAGAATAATTCCATTTCCACTGAAATTTTCTCTTCCCTGTGATGTGCTCATGCCCTCTCCGGCTCACCCCCATGGTCCTTTCCGGGCTCTGCTGCCTGAGCCAGGTCCTCTTTGCTAATTCTGTGCAGCATTGCCGTCGTCTTTGGCATTCTGATCTTCGGCTGTTGCTTCAGATCCACCTACTCACTCGCTGCCCTCCTTGAGTTCTGAATTGTTCCGTGTTTCCAGCTCTCTTCTGGACATGCCAGTCCCTCATTCAACATGTCAGAACGACATTTAATTTTCACCCCAAGCCGTGGCTCTTTCTTATCTGGATCTTCTGTTTAATCCCAGGAAGCAGAACCTGAAAGTCAATCTGGAATCTTCCCTCTCCGTCATACCTTCCTCCCAGCCTCCACATCCAATCAGCCACTCACACACTAGTTGATTGTGTTTGTTCAATGTCCCTAAAATTCTTCCCTTCTGTGTCTATTTTGTCTCATCTAGGCTGTTGGAGCCATTTCCTCTTCCAAGTCCTACTGTGCCTGCTGGAGAGTCTAAACTCCTAAGTTCAGCCTTCAAAGCTTTGGGTGATCTATCCCTGGGCTAGCTAGTTTCGTCCCTCACCAGCTCCAGTTTCCTTGTGCCCCACCCATTCCCACCTCGCCCTCAAGCAGCACAAATCCACCTGATTCGTGGATATCTCCATGTCTTTGCATTAGCTGTTGCTAGCATACCTGTCCCCTCTCATTCTTTATTTGGGGGGGACGGAGTCATGCTCTTATACCCAGGCTGGAGTGCAGTGGTACAACAGCATGCAGATAATTTTTAAAAATTTTTTGTAGAGATGGGGGTCTCACCGTGTTACCCAGGCTCCTTCTCATTCTTCCAGACTATAAACCCCCAGGTTTAGGTTTAAACAGTGCAAGTTTAGGCTGTATTTTTGTTCATTTTGGTTCTCTAGCTTCAGGCACTGTTCCTGGCTCACAATGTGGGCTTGATGTGTTTTATTTTAATCATTTGAAGAAAGCAACATTTTGTAACTCTACTTTTCCAGTTCCTTGGGTGCAATTCAATCAGCTGTTTTGAATGATTATCCAGATGTAACAGTTAAGGTGCCAGCCGTGTGCGGTTGTGTTTGTGTGTGTGTGTTTCACCTGTCAGCTTTTGGTATCTGGGAATGACATTTTTCTTTGCACTGGGACATCAATTGTATCTAAAAACTATGTTTCTAAAAGGAATAGGAAATATGAATGAATAGGTCAGCGTTCACTACTCTAGGCGGTTTTCAAACCGTATTTGGTAATGTTGATTTAAAATGGCTCAACGAAAAAGCACCCCAAGTATAATCATGGAAAATGCTAGTGCTACTTTGTATGTAGCAATATATTGCTAAGAGAATTTTCATTGAAATTATGTTAGTCACAGGGAGAGACTATAACTTCTCTCTTGTTTTGTTTTAACAGGATCAGTTTGACAACTTAGAAAAACACACACAGTGGGGAATTGATATTCTTGAGAAATATATCAAATTCGTGAAAGAGAGGACAGAGATTGAACTCAGCTATGCAAAGCAACTCAGGTAAGTTGATGATACTGAAAAACCTTATTTGTTAACTGCAAAATGATATCAGGATAACGTATATTCTCATTTTATAGTATAAATGTATCATATTTTAAATATTTTTCCTTTTATGTAAGGTAATATTTCAATAGAAGTGATTGTTTTTCATACGGAAAATTAATTTTCATAAAACATTAAAAGTAAAAACTAAGTTACTGCTTTAAGGCCCAGCTTTTTTCAACGGGATATTTGCTGAGTTTCGGAGCAGCTCGTTTTTCAGTAAACTTTTTATTGAGATATATTAACAGCATACGTACAGAGAAGTACACAAATCATAAGTGTGCAGCTCCATGAATTTTGACAGTGTGAACACACTCATGTAACTGGGCACCCAAGTCAAGAAACAGAAAGACCAGCCCAGGAGGCCCCCCTGGCCCCTTCCAGCTCCCCACTCTCCCCGCAACGGTAACCGCTTTCCTGACTTGTAACCACATGGATTAGTAGTGCCCACTTTTGAACTTTACATGGGCGTAATCATTTGGTATGCATTCTTGTGTATCTGGCTTCTTTTGTTCCACATTACGTTTGTGAGATTCACCATGTGGTAGCATGTGGTGGGAGTCTGCTATTTTCATTGCTGTGGAGTATTTTGGTCTATGAATGCACCAGAATTCATCCATTCTAATGTTACTAGGCGATTTGGTTGTTTCCAATTTAGGCGTATAATGAGTAGCACTCCAACGAGCATTACTGTAGAAAACTTTTTGTGCGTATATGAACACATTTCCTAGGATCTACCTAGGATTCGAATTGCAAGGTCTCAGGCTACTTGTATGCTTCGCTTTAGTGGACAGGGTTAAACCATTTTCCAAGGTGCTTGTACTAATTCACACTCCCTCCAGTAACGTGTTGAGGGGGCATATGGAACAGTATTTTAAAAGTACTTCGGGCCGGGCGCAGTGGCTCACGCCTGTCATCCCGGCACTTTGGGAGGCAGAGCTGGGCAGATTGCCTGAGGTCAAGAGTTCGAGACCAGCCTGGCCAACATGGTGAAACCCCATCTCTACTCAAAATACAAAAATTAGCCAGGTGTGGTGGCGCATGCCTGTAATCTCAGCTGCTGCTTGGGAGGCTGAGGCATGAGAATTGCTTGAACCCAGGAGGCCAGAGGTTGCAGTGAGCTGAGATCGTGCCACTGCATGAGATCACCAACCTGGGTGACAGAGTGAGACATCATCTCAAAAAA